CCCCAAAACCCCAAAACCCCAAAACCCCAAAACCCCAAATCCTATTCAATATTAATATTTTATTTTATCAAATGGGCATCATTAAGCAATCGCTCTGGTTTTTATTCCTGATTTGTATTAATGATTGTTATACTTCAGCTTCTCAAACATTTGAAGATCAGCTTGATATAGGTAGGAGGCTAAGTATCACGCTGTATAGAAATACCTCATTTTCATAATACAGCTCCTGCTCTTTGGGATGAAAAGGCCCTTCAGAGAGTATATTTTCCGCCTCACAAATCAAAAAATTCTAGTACCAAGCCTGAGAATAATTATATCCAGCCAGAATCACTTGATCATCATACTAGAGAGGAATGCTACCAGCTTGACTATCCTGAAGAAACTGGACAAGATCTTCTTGAAACCCTTACCAATGAAAACCAGAACATAATTGTTACTGTGTGGTATGAGAACTATCAAGGCTCTTGGGCCCAAAATATGATTAACCAAAATGTGCAAGGGAGTCTTTGGAGATGTCTCTGAGAGAATCATCCTAATATTATTTACACGGAGGCAGATCTCTCTCATTATAACATAAATGCTTATACATATCAAGACCTTGCTACACAACTGGAGATAAATATTGAAGACCTCTTCAATGGTCCTTCCATTGTAGTCATGAACGATCAGTCTGGCACACAGTTCAGAACTGAGAAGGAGCCTGATAAACTTGTAAAAAACGTAGAAGAATACATCAGAACTTTTGAAAAAGATCTGTATGGGGTTGAAAACCCAAAATGAGACTTTCAAAACCAAATTTTAGCAGAAAACCATTACGAGTACTACCTCCCAAACACAGAACTCGACATGTACCTCCCCAGCCACAACGAAGTCCAAACAGAAGCTCAAATCTCCAAACATATAGACACAAGAACCTCCCCCCGCCTCTCTGAGCCTGAAAAATCATTCACTTAGTCCCTCCCCAACCCTCTTCCCACCTAAAAATTCCAAAAAAATTCCAATATTCACCTTAAAAGTTGGGGTTTTGGGGTTTTGGGGTTTTGGGGTTTTGGGG